AGTGGGGGCCCTGCTCTTAACTGGGGTCTCTAGATGCTACTGTGATAAGAAGAAGAACAGCATTTGTGGCTGCTGCCATCAGAGGATTCTGCTAGGGTTACCATATTTTGAGCCTCCAAAAGGAGGACACTCCACGGGGCCCCGCCCCCGCCCCAACTCCGCCCCTTCCCCAAAGTCCCCGCCCCAACTCCGCCCCCTCCCCAGCTTCCCGCGAACATTTGATTTGCGGGAAGCCTGAAGCAGGTAAGGGGTGTGTGGGGGGAGGAGGCGCGGCCCAGTCTGGCCCCCCTGGTGTCTCCAACCTGGGTCGGCTCGGGCCCTGGGGTGCCGGGCCCAGCCCCCGGCCGAGCACCCCCGGCCCGCCCAGCACTGCCGGTCCCCGGCCCAGCCCCCAGCACCGCACCGCCGGCCTGGCCCCCGAGCCCCTGGCCCGGCCCGGCCTGGCACCGCACCGCAGGCCCGGCCCCTGAGCCCCCGGCCCAGCCCCGCACCACCGGCCCGGCCCCCGAGCCCCCAGCTCGGCACCGCCGGCCCCGCATGTCCCGATTTTCCCGGACATGTCCGGCTTTTGGGGATTTCCCCCCGGACGGGGATTTGGAGCCCAAAAAGCCGGACATGTCCGGGAAAATCCGGACGTATGGTAACCCTACCCTGCTATTCGCTTTGTTCCCTGTAGGCATTAAAAGTCTCCCAGTGCTTTGGATTCCAGGTGCTCTATAAATAAACACAACGTAATCTAACGATCCCACGGCAAGTTCAGCTAGTGTGCCGGCTTGCCTCAGCTCCACTAACCCCAGGGCTGCCTCTTGTGCAGCCCAGAAGCAGCTGCATTTCGGGGGTGCTTTGTTTTGCCAGGCTGTAAAGCGCATCGGGATGGAAGATGCTCTAGAAAAGGAAGACTCCAGTAGACAGCTTGGACTGAGCCCACCACCTGGCATCACCAGAGCATATTCCAAACCAATGGCAAATAAACCTACAGGGCAGAAGTGAGGAGATAGATAAAACCTGTCGGAGGTCTCCCCTGAATTGGTGCCTACAGTGGACAAATGTGTGTTGCATCCATTAGAGAGCAACAGCCTACTAGTGCTACTGTCTAAAGGAATTACTCAAGGCCTGTGTTGTGTGGCTGAAGCTGCTAGATTCAAACTTGGCTGATGACCCATGCAGGGGATCGTTACAGTCGGTCCTGACCCTCTAGTTCCCTGCCATTGTCATCCTCCTGGCTGGTATTTTCCAGGAGTCCATCCTCTGGGAGCCGCATGAACCAGGGTATAATTCCTCTCCCTTGCCCCGTCACAAAGGGCTTGAACCTGATTGGTGCTGAGAACTGGCACCACCCAATGACCTCCGCAGGAACTGCAATTGCTCAGGATCTCCGGAGATCAAGCCGCGAGCCGGTAACGTTCTCCATAGCATAGGTCACGGTCACATATCTACATGAAAGTGGAGCTGTTCTGGCTTTAAAGCAAAAAGGGGACCAGAGGGAGCTTCACACGCTTCTCCCCAACCCTTGATTTGGGGCGGGAGAAATGGGATCAGATTCAAACACCTGGGCACAAACCAAACTAGATCAAAACCATAAGAGGGCTGATTTTCTTGGTCTGGTTCCGATACAGCCCAAGGGGGTAGAAATCCTGTACAATTTTGGTGCCCCTCCCCAATCTAATCCAGATACAGTCTCAAACTTCTCCCTAAAATCCCTCTGCCTGCTGGCCCTGCCCAAGGAAGCACTGCACGATCATGTAGCATGAAGGCCATGGGGCCATCCCTTCCAGACGCCTCACCGGCACTTTGACACAACCAGAGAAGAGGCCAGTCCCAGGAAATCTCCCCCACACTACCTGCGGGGAGAGGACTTTGGATGTTGAAGCTGGGCCACGTGGGTGCCCATGCAGCGCAAACAGGTGCAACGAGGCTTCTGCCTATGTCCCGCCCCCAGCGTCAAGTCCCAGGCTTTGATTTAAGAAGCCGAAGCCACAATGGCATAACCCCCCATCCCCAAAACAGACCAGAAAAGGTGCAACGTGGGACCCACCTACGTTCCCTGAACTAAGAGAGCCAGCCACCCGGCTAGTCCTTCTGGCAGTTTGCCAACTGTTTGTGGGCTGCTGATTGGCTCTCTCCCTCCTCCTTCGATGGCTTCTGCCATGGACACAATTGGAAATTGCCATGAGAGCCGAGCACGCCATGACGAGTGATAAATCACCCGGGCATTTCACAATGCAATTTAATCTCCCTTTAGGGCCTGAGAAAGCCATTTGTATCCACGCCACGGTTGATGTGGGCTTTTGAGGGCACATGCCTAGGGTTAAAGGCCCCTTGTTTGCTTGTTTCATGTCTTCTGAACCTTCCTTTTCAGCCACGCCAGCCTGTAGCGTTTGGTAACAGTCACATGCAAAGCCCCGGCACACAGCACAGTTGCGTTTCTCTGTGGGCGCCTGTCAGAACATTCGCTGGGGCTACGTCGCTGCTTAGTGAAAGGTTATATTCGTCAATCAGCTCCACGGCTGGTCAGGAATAGAAAGGGACAGGGGCGGCGATCAGAGCTGAAAAAAGAAAGACAAGACGTGACCCGGGGGCATAGCATTGACCACCAGACCTCTGCCACACATCACCTTAACTCTAGGGTCTATGTGAGCAAAGTACGTGGGGACATGCAGAGCACTTGAGCTCACTGCATTCCAAAGCTCTCTGGTGATGAGAATATTTTCCCCAGCAAGTCTCCTGCTTTCTCCTCTCCTTAGGGAAAAGGCAGGCAGACGCTGTAGATCAATCCTACCGTGCACTGGCAGCTGAAATCCCAGAGAACACAGCCTGACTCACTTCTCTTCCTTTGCGAGCGCTTTCCCGTTCTCCCCCGCACGGCAGTCAGATATTTATCACAGAAGCACCTCCCTGCCCCAGCTGAGGTCAGGTCCCTCTCGGGCTGGATGATGTGCAAACCCAGAGAAGGAGAAAGAGATAGCCCTGGCCCTGAGGCGGGACCAAGGGTGGGAGAAAGAAAGCGTTGGTGTTGCCATTTGACAGATGGGAAACTGAGGTGCCAACAGCTGAAGGCCCAGCCTTTCAAATGTGAATTTGGGTCCCCAACTTGAGATGTCTTCAAGGGCTCTGATTGTCGCTGGAAAGACCCATTACATCCTGCAGCATTTCCCTCTCCTTGTCCTGCTGGGACTTCCGGGCCTTTCTCCTGTCCTCTCTGTCGTTCTCCACGCTTTTGGTCATGTTGGCCGTCCAGGCCCTTTGTTCCCAGTCTGATGCAGCAGTGGCTTGCAGGATCTCACAGAACATGTTCTCCCTCGTCCTTTCTCCTCTTCCTTAGGGTCAGGTGCTGTGCGGGCATGGAGGGGGCAACCCTTAAGGTCATCACACCAGAGGATGCTGATAAAGACAGATGTGCTGTTGGATTGACAGTCACAATGGAAAGGGAAAGAAAAGTTTCAAAGCTACCTTCCCTTTTTCCCATGAACACTTTTAATTGACACTTCATCTTTGGACAGCACTGTTCGCCAGCCCCAGCCATGGTGAGTATGGCCCGAAGAGAATTTTCTGTTGCCCGAAGCGATAAAATTTCGGTCCCTGTTACTCAGGTACGACCGTAGGGCACTGGCACTTAATCCTAGCACTATTTTCCGCAGGTGGAAGTGATTTTAGCTGATCTCTCACTCCTGAGGGTCACAAAGGCACAGACAGTACAGCTGCTACTGGGGTCCCGAAGCCACCTGGGCCTGTAGGCCATCAGCCTGTTTGCTGCAATGGATGGTGCAAGCCCAACTCATCGCAGAGTGGCACGGGAACGTGCCCTACCACAGTGGAGAAATAAGGTCCTTAGAAACCTTCAGGAGAGGATTGCAGAGCATCTCCATGAAAGTGTCATCAAGGTCCCTCAGCAGGATAAAAGGGCCATTCCTGTGTACATAAACAAAGTGCTCCCAAGCCACCCCCCGCCTAACCCAACAGGGGAATGAAAAGCAGGTGCCAGCTCTACTTCTGTTTGTTGTATCTCTGTCTCTGCTCCTATGAGTACAATGAACAGTCGATACCTTTGTCTTGTTAACTGGGGAGATGGGCTGGGTGCCATCTTTGAATGTCAACACTGTAAGGAAAAATGCATCCACATACATCGGAGTTGCCTTGACCTTCCTCCTAGGCTCACCCGTCCTCGCCTGGTGGGACTGGCTAGACTGCGGCGGAGGCTCAAACAGGTCCCAGCTCGCAGCACGGGTGAGCTAGAGTCCCCTGCCACGTCTCCCCACATCTCCTCCCTGTTCACCGCAGCAGCTCTGTAGTTCAGCACCAAATCTTCTCCCCACGGGCCCAGGCGATCCAATACTTCCTGTCTACTCCAGGCAGGGGCACGTCTAGTGTGTGGAGCTGGCAGGTCGGTTGGGCAATTGCACACAACAAGGGTGAACTCACCAGCAAAAGGCATTTCAAAAACATGTGGGGGGCTTTAGAGAGGGGAGGGGGCTTCCGGTCTCTGTGACTCCTGGGCTCTGTGGAGTTTTAAACTGTGACCAGAGCAGATGCTGTCGCAGGGAATGTGGAACAGCTGCTGGAGGACTGTTAGAGTAAATGCAGGTCGTGCAATGTCTACACTTGCACTGAGTCAACGTCCGTATGCCGTTCGGGGAGGTGGTTTCACCACATTGCTGTCACAGGGCTCTGACACCAGCCAGAGACAAATTTGAATGTAGACACATGCACACATCGGGTAACACAAGGCAACTGACATTGACCTAACTTCGTAGTGTAGACCAGGCCAAAATGTTGCAACGCGTAATGGCATCCCATGAAAGCATCCCAACTCACCGCCATTCAGAGTCCCCGGGTTAACAGGGATCAATTTAATCCTTCCCCGCAGTACAGGGATGTAATTGTTGATCTATTAGAATTTTAATTGTACTGGGACAGCGCCAGACTGAAGAATGCAATTAACATGCCAGCCAGATCTGAAAGAAAGAAAGGGTCTTTGGGTTTTTCTTTCTGTTATCGCTACATCAGCCTGCACAATGGAGGGGAAGGAAGCTGCGTGAGATTACACGGCTTCTGAGGATGAGCGGAGAGGAATCAGTGTTAGAGAGCTCGTCACATTTGAATTCTCTGGCAAAGGGGCTGCTTCAGTTTCTTATGTTAACAAAAACCAAAGGCTCTGTGTATAAGTAGACATACAAAAGGCTGCTTATGGCACACCCAGTTCAGCATTACCCAATTGCCTTTGCACAGAGCAGATCTTCATTGTCTCTCTCTTTTTTTCCCCCTGCTACCCAGAAGGAAGCTAGACAATTTACAGCACCTGCAAATGCAGTGTCAGGACAGAGAAGTGACTGTTTGACACCCTCCTAACCCATCAACCTCCTGAGGGCTGGATGTGGAACAAAAACCTGGAATGAGGGACCCAAGAAGGAAAGGAGGGAGCACGGAACGACATGGAATTGATGACTTTATCCCGAGCAGGGTTGCTGATGGCGTCGATGTCCTGAGTTAACTGTTTCGGAGAAGTCATTTACCATGGCAAAATAGAGGTGGATTTGGCCAGAAGGGGCCACTCGTGAGAGCTGATGTTGTTTAACAGGGTATTGTAACACTTCAGATTTAATGGCTGCTGCGATGCGGCATCTGTTCAGGGCTTATCCCAACAGCAGAAGAACTCTGAGCCTCCTGTACCCAAGCACAGGCCCCTGCCACTGCAGCGAGAATCTCTGCAGGCTCTCGGCCATACGGGGCCTGTGACACACAGCTGAGCAGATCTCATTCTGGCCAGTAGAGGGCAGGAATGCACATGCACAGTAGCCAGGACATGACACTATTGTGAGCTTTGGAACATGGACCTGCTCCCTGACAGGTGAGCTGAGTGACCCTCTCCTGTCGTAGAGAATACCAATATCTAACAATGCATTTCTAGCACACATGCTATAGAGCAGTGGTTCTCAACCTATTTACCATTGTGGGCCACATCCAATACTACCTGTCTGGCCCTGAGGATGTCACATGGGCTGCAGCTCTGTGCTGATTGGGCCGTAAGCGGTCCACAGGCTGCGGGTTGAGTCTCTCTGGCCCAATGGCTGTTCAAGTATTTTATACGCAGTGGAATGTTTCAACAGGACAGATGGAGAGCCCCACCCCAGAATACCCTATAGCCCAGTGACTGGGGCACTCACCAGGAATAGGAGAAACCTGCGTTCAAGTCTCGGCTCCAGAGCAGGGATTCAAACCGGTCTCTCCCATCCCAGTTGAGTGCCCTAGGCACTGGGCTATTGGGCACAACAGCGGCACCGCCTCCCCCTCTTCCCCTTGTGAACATTGCCCGAAAAATCAAAATATTAGTAACCATTTCAACACTGCCGATTTCGTTTCCCGCCATGACCGAAGCAATTCGCTGAACTCGCCACGAATTTGCAAAACGCCCCAAATCTGCCTTTGTTGTTGAAAAAAAACCGTATCAGCTGAAAAATGTCAGCCAGCTTTAGTTGTCATGCAACCAAACAAGCCAGGGGGTGAACCCGGGCTGGGTGAAGGCTTCAACGGGACATTCCAAATGTTCCATCTCAAGAAGCTGCATTTTCTTACCCGGAACGAACCTCTCCCCATCCCCAATGCCCCATCCTGGGCTGTAATCACACAAGTGTTTCTAAGCCATTCCTTGCAGTGGCGTGGGTTCACCAGTACCAATGGGATATTGACCATTTTCAATGTCCCTTTGAAGCATTGTGTGTATAAAGCAGAGAGGGGCTCAGGCATAGATCCTCAAGCATAGTTTGGTGCCTAAGTCTCACTGAAACCAATAGATCTTTGACACTCTGGACATCAGTCTGCAAGGCAGACCAGAAACAGGAAATGACAACAGAGAGAAAACAGAAAGGGGGGTGGGGGGAGAGATTCCAAAGATGGTGGCAACTTTGCCAGGCATGGATTGAGAGGTCCCAGCGGAAGTGCCTAATCCGTTATAACTGGCACTCAACCAGAAAAGGACTGGGGACCGCTGACCTAGAGAGAACGAAGAGAGAGAGCTAAATTCTCTTGTTTACACTGGTGCAGTCCCACTGACTTCAGTGGAGTTTCAGCAATGTAAGCGGAGGAGAATTTAGTCCGTGGGAGCTCCGATTGTCACAGGTGCTGAGTTCCCACAACTCCAGCTGCTGTCAAGGGGAGCTGTGGTGCCTCAGTACCTCTTCTAGTCATGCCTGGGGGGTCTGAGCCTCTTTATAGATCAGACGCTGGTTCAAATCCATTATCTGATCTGCTTTTAATGGATCAGGAGTCCCAGGCCCTGGTTTCTGTTCCCAGCTCAGCCACTGGCCTGATGCATGACTTTGGGCAAGTCACCTGACCTCTCCATGCCTCAGTTTCCCACCCTTTATCTGTCTTTGAGCGGCAGTTCTTTGGGGCTGGGACTGCCTCTCGCTATGGGTGTGTGTAGCGTCAGCACAATGGGACCCTATTCCTGGTCGGGGCTTCAAGGTGCTATTGTATAAGACGTATAATAAATAATAATAATTTAAAAATATTCCCACCTCCCCATCTTTTATTTTTCTAAAGACATACTCCAAGAGGCTCTTAGTGAAATTGAATAACAAGAGAGTAACTTTCAGGGTTGGTCCTTGATCCTGAACGAAGCCGTTATGGAATTAACATGGGAAATTGTATTACTCCTTTCTCGTCCCGCAATCATTACAATAAATAGCTCGCTAAATGCAACCATATTTGCAACCCTCTTCTGCAGATAAGATCAGGACTTTATTAAAGCATTAAGCCTGAAAGGCTGTAATAACGGAGACCTAAATGATTCCTGCCATTAAAAGGAAATGGGCTGAGATAAATCTTTGGAGGAAAAATAGGAGTGGGGGTGGGGGCAAGAGATGCTATTGAAAGGAAACCCAAGAATGTTCCTTTTTTAGATGATAAGCCACATTTTATCCCAAGAGACGGGCGTAAAATGCTACCACCCAAAAATATCATCTGTCTGCTAGAAAATGCTGCCTCGCCAGAGGGAGCATGGTGGGTGCCCACAAAGCATGTTACTGCTCACCCCCAGCCAGAAGCCCCCAGATACACTAAGGCAGTGAGAATCGCTCTTTGGTGGCATTAGCCTTAAAGCCTGCAATGCTCTCTGAGAGGGCAGACCCCTGCCTATTGGGGCTCCAGCCAAGCACAGGGGTCTGCTAATATGGAGCTGATGGCAGGATCGGGGCCCCAGTGAAGGCACTCTGTGGCTTAGAGGTTTTTAAGGCCCAGCTTGACAAAGCCCTGGCTGGGATGATTGAGTTGGAGTTGGTCCTACCTTGAGCAGGGGGTGGGACTAGATGACCTCCTGAGGTCCCTTCCAGCCCTGATATTTTATGATTCTATGATGGTTGACAGTTCCGCTGGCAATCACTATAGGCACTGCCAGCCAATCAATTAGGGCTGGTCAAAAAAAAACAAACCCCAAACCCTGGGTATTTTTTCTATGAAAAATCTTGAGTGAAATGAAAAATGTTCGTTTCATTTGGAAATTTTTCCAGATTTTTCAACAAAAGGATTTGAACCATTTTTTATTATTTTGATTTTGATTCACATCACACAGAGAATTGAAATGGGAAAAGAGTTGGTGTAGGGGTTCCCCTCCGTTCTCTGCCGTCCCCTCCCCTTCATTTCTCCACTGGAGAGAAAGGAGCGTCACGCCCCCAGACTGGTTCTTAATTAGAATCAAACATTTTCATTTCAAATCCTTTGGTCAGAAAAAAAAATCAGAAAATTTCAAACATGAAACTGTTTCACAAAACTGTTTGGCTTTGTCCAAAAGGCCATTTGTCCTCCCAAACCAGCTAGTATCCAGCACCCTTTTGATCTATCTTAGTGGCACATGTCAGCTGACAGCGGAGTACTCCACAGCTAACAGTCCTAGAGTCAGCTGGCCTGAAATAGAGATCATTCCCCAGAGCCCTCATCCCAATGGAAATGGGATCTCATGTATTTCACCCGCCCACACTAGACACATCAATCTTCCCACGCTGAAGGCTGAGGCTCCTTCAAATGAGAACACTTCACCCCATGTGGGGTGACCTCTATAAGAAGGTTAGGAGGAGCCACTAAATTAAAATACGCATTAGTTCGGAACGTACCATAACATCACATCCAGATATAGTCAGGCACTTTGTGCAATTTACTCTTTTCAGTCTCCTTTCCTTCTCCACCAGCAACACACAGTTAATCAACATTATAATGGGCACAAAGTCTCTGCCTGAGAGACGGCCAGGTAGTGGAGAGCTTTGATTAAAGGTCACAAATTCACGCCTGAGGTGACTGCTGATGTAATAAAGACTAAAAAAATACATTAAAATAATGTTAAAGGCCTGACTGCAGCCTGGGAAATTCAGTCCCCGTGCTCCATTGCATCCAGGTGCTGGTACTCAGGTGGCATGGGGGAGATGAAACGCATGGCATCGAGGCTGGCTTGCCTTCATGTTGCCCCAGAGCAAGTCTCATAGCGTGAATTTCGTTACCTAGAAGGGGCCTGCTCCAATGCTTTGCGTTGATGTCAGTGGACCTTGGACTCTAAGACCTTAGGCCCTGATTCAGCAAAATACTTAAGCACATGCTTAACTTTAAGCATGTGAAACATCCCATTGGCCTCGGTGGGACTGGCATCCTTCGTGTGGAGTACGCACTGATGTGGGAGAGTGCTAAAGACACATCTAGGAGGGAGGCACCCATCTCTCATTGACTTCCAATGAGAGTTGGGACCCAGCTGCCCTCTCTGCCTACGACAAATCTCCCCCCAGGTGCTTTGCTGAACTGGAGCCTTAATGAGGTTATTTCTCATCTCATGGAACAACCGGTGGAGGTGCCGCTAGAACTGGGATTACTGGGACTCACCCCTATGCATAACGATAGGGGGCCTGATCCAAAATCCACTGGAGTCACTATGACTCCATTGACTTCAATGAGCTTTGGATAAGGGCCAAGGGGCAGGGACGCTACCGAGGATGTAATAAAGTTATGACACACAGTAGTGCTACTCAGAGATTGGACTTTTCATTCTTAGCCCTGGTCACCTGACATGGGTAATAAAAAGTCACCAATCACATAACTGAGTTAATGAGTCTCCACTGATCCAATGGCTATCATTACCTCTTCTTTCTCTCGCTCTCCTCCTGCACTCTCAGGACCATCAGGGGTCCACCAATTTCCGCCTTTTATTTCAGCCTTGTGCTGGTCTGTGCCGGCTTCTGAGTGTCATGTTGATGGAGGTGGCGTCTTTCTTGATGGTTCTGCGTAATGTTTCTCTGGGCCGCCCTCTTTTTCCTCTCCCCAGGTGGTCTCCACATTATCACATGACATGAAAGTCAGTTTGGTGGCCTCCTTAAAGCTGCAAAGATCAGGTAGATAATGTTTTAAAAGGACCAAAAAGGACCATAGCTACTTTTCTTCTATGATGCTGTGGGCTATGACACTGCAAAGCCCCTTGATGTTATGGAAGCTGCTACAGAAATCAAATCATTATCTATCATGCGAGTAAGGACTAAAACCATTTAAAAAGTGCAGCTGCCGGTCTGACTCCTCGGCCAGACAATCAGCTCACACACCCTGGAAGCTTGAGGCTGAATTAAACATCTAATTACATATTATTAGAGCTGCAAAGGCTATTGATTAATGGCTACAAAGAGCACTATCCAGTACCCACTGAAGTCAGTGGGAGTCTTTCCACCTAACGGGCACTGGAGTCAGACCCAAATTATCCAGTGCCAATTAGGAAAAAAGAGGAGCTGATAGAGGAAGGCTTGTCCAGGCATGTAGAGCCCTAGCCTATGACTCAGGAGACCCTTGTTCAAGTCCCTGCTCTGCCACAGATTTCCTGGGTGAGTTTGGGCAAGGGTGGCAGTATGGCCTAGTGGACAGAGCACTGGACTGGGACTCAGGTGATCTGGCTTCTATTTTCCGCTTTGTTGCTGGGTGACCTCAGCTAAATCCCCGTGTCTCATTTTTTCCACCTGTAAAATGGGGACAACGATGCTTCCTTCCTTTGTAAAGCCGCTTTCTAAGAGCTACTTATTATTATTTAATCTCTCTGGTCCAGATCCTGAAAGGTATTTAGATTCCTAACTAAGCTGGGATCCTAAATACCGTTGAGAATCTAGGCCTCAGTTCCCCATCTGTAAAATCATAATAGCACTGCCCTGCTGCCCAGGTTGTGAAGTGCTCACACACGACGACGGTGGGAGCCATACAGGTACTGGCGATAAACAGATAATGGCCCACTTTCTTCCTGAGTGATAGAAGCGTGAAAACTCCTACTGCCCTATGAGAGGGCACAGCCTAGTTCATTGCATTATGACCAGCTCCCCAACAGCCAGGCTCAGTCACCTAGCCTAGATAAGTCACCTGTCTGTTCCAATGCGGCATTTCCTTTCCAAGCCGCTCAGGTTGAAACAAAAATAAACGAAAGCTCCGGAGGGCCTTTGGGTTCCGAACGCTTGAGAGTGTTTCAAAATCATTTAAAATTAAATTAAAAGAGCTGCTATTCCTTCGGGTCCTTTCCCTGGGTCAGAGCTCACCTGTGGGAGGCGAATTTGCTTAACGAGTTTCCCCACTGAACTGTTGGATATTATACTCCAGCATCAAACTACTTGTCAGCCTAGCAGGTCAGGCTTTTTTTTTCCCTCCTGCCTAATTGATATGATATGAAATAACGTACGATACATTTGCGGATGCTTTCTTAGACTTTTTTGGGAGGTAGAGCGACTGCTTTCAGTGAGCCACAAAGTTTGGAGCTCAGATTTCTCCCCCATCCCTGCCCCACACTTTGGGCCTTTCCCTGGATTAAATATTAGCTGGTTTCACAATCACGTTTCCCCAGACGCTCTCAAGCGGCACTGTTTGGACCTGGGTGACGACAGACACATGCCTCGAAGGTTGTGGAGTTGTTCAGTGCTACATCGCTTCAGCTCACGATAAAAACAGGTGCCAGCTGCATCTAGATTGAGAACCCACCGACGTCTGGGGGAGGGGTTTCCCATCCATGCGCTATGGAACCAAGCCAGCCAAACACTTAAGTGCCCACTTAACTGTAAGCATGTGAATAATCCCACTGAAGGCATGAGGATGATTCACATGCTTAAATTAAGCATGTCCTTAAGTGCTTTGCTAGGCCCAGGCCCAAGCCAATAGCAGAGCCAAGAGGTGGCCTCGGAAGAATGGTCATGGGGTTAGAGCACTGACTGGGGATTTGGGTTCAGTTCCAAAGAGATATTAAGGGATTTGCTGGAGAAAGGTTAAGTAAGGGGGTGCCCACAATTGCCAGTGCACAGTGAAGGTGAGATTGTAGCAAACCTGTGCTAGCTTTAGGCTAACTAGCGGAGCTAACCATAGTGGTGAAGACCTAGCAGCACGAGCTTCAGTGCACGCTAGCAACCTGAATATGTACCCAGAACCCCTGGCGTGCCATCACATCTTCACTAGTGTTGAGACCCGGGCTAGCTAGGTTAAAGCTAGCTCTGGTATACCTACCTGTGCTACAGTCACACCTGCACTTTGCAGTGTAGACTAGGGTGACCAGATGTCCCGATTTTATAGGGACAGCCCTGATATTTGGGGCTTTTTCTTATATAGGCACCTATTACCCCCCATCCCCGTCCTGATTTTTCACACTTGCTATCTGGTCATGCTAGTGTAGACGTACACTGAATGTGGGGCTGCAGCTAGTTACCTGGGGATTGGTTTGTCACTGCCTGATCGGGGCTTCTTTCCCAGGAGGTGTATTTTATAGGGCCCGGGGCTGTGTGACGCTCCTGGAATGCTAAAGTGCTGTCATCAAAGACCCATGCGACTTCTCACAGAGATCCGATCACCACGCCTCCTGTCCCTCTGTGCCTTTGAGGCAACAGAAACAGCAATAAATAACCACCGTCAGGGGGTGGCATTTAAAAAAACCAAACACACAGATTGCCAGACTGGTTGCGCTATTTAGCCCAGGATCCAATGGCCAGCACTGGATGCTTCAGAGGAAGGTGCAGGTAACCACACAGTTGGCAGATGTGGGATAATCAGCCCCACGGGAAATCTCCTCCTCATCCCTTGGTAGTTACAGCTTGGTTGATGCCCTGAAGCACCCTAGGTTTTAAGGGGTGTGTAGGCCTGTGCTGGCTCTCTGCCCAGGTTGAATTTCCCCCAGTGAAAGCGGAGATGTCCTGCATCCCAGCAGGTTTCAGAACAGAAAGGGGAGTTGAATTTATGCTGGTGCATCCTAGCTCACATGAGTTTGGAGGGCTGGCAGTTGTGTGTGTGGGGGGGGAAATCCTCCTTTTCTTTGCTAGTAAGCTGAGCAAACTTGATCAGAAATCCATCCAGGGAACCCCGTGGTGCCATTTTCACAGTCACGTCTCAGAGCAGAGCCACACTTTAAGCCCAGGAGGCAACACGAGCTTAGAGGGAGCGATGAAGGTGGGGCCATTAAGGGGCTGCCTCTGCTCCACCCGCAGGGGAGGATTTTCAGAAGTGCTCAGCATTGGCCTAACTTTGCTCCCCCTGGAGTCCAACTCCCAGGGACTGAGATGGGAGCAAAGTGCCACCTCGCTGGTATGGCTGCAGACTCTGCGAGTGAGGCCAGGTGAGGGACTGAGAGTGGCTCAAGCCCTGATCTTGCCCTGGGGAAGGATGAGCTCAAGGGAACCCCCGTCGATATCGATTGTGGGCGCTCCCATGGAGAACTAGTGTCTACAAAGGGAAACGCTTCCATGCCAGAGATGCCCAGCTGCATGCCTGCCTCTGCAGGACCTGCCTCCATGCCAGATGCTGGGCAGCGAAGGGAGGGGTGGGCATACCTCAGAGAGAAGAAGCTCAAAGCACAATTAGGAAACATGCTTTCCTTCCGTTCCCCGGCTCTCCTTTGATCTCCTAGATCAAGGAGGTGTTTTTAGAGAAGGGTGTTTTTCCCTTTGTGTCGCTGCTGCCCTAATTCTTCCCCCTCTTAATTTCTCCCCACTGACTTTAATTAGGGCCTCATTAGTCCTCTCTCCAACCTGGCAAGCACTTTATAAAATAAACCCTCTCTTTCTGCCCACTGTTTGCTTCCCAAGGTTCGCTCACCACTACCACGCACACAAGCTACTCCAGTTCCAAGTGCTCCAGACAGCAAAGAGAGGTCTCTGCAGCTAGCACCAGCAGCCACTGCACAGACAAGAACCATTCGTGATGGGGCTAAGAAGGGGTCTTGCCCCTGGAGATGCAGCAACTCACTGCAAAGCCTATTCTTTGCTTGCTGGTGCCCGCACTCTGAGCTTGAACGAGTGTAGTGTTGGGCCCTCGGTGCAAATGAAAGTGTTATCCCTTTCTGACCCGAGCAGTTAGACCAATTGGGGTGCTGAGGGTTGTTTCCAGTAGGAGGAGAAATTGATGAGGGAGTCAGCTTTCTTTGATCCAATGCTGATTATTACACTGCTCTACAGCCAAAATGCTTCTGAAATAAATGTAGTCAAACTTAACTAATTCTGGGTCACTGAGAACGAAAATGATGCTTAAAATTGTTGATTGGCTCTAGTTTTCAAGATATGCTATTGGGTCAGTATATACGACCCTGACTTGGGAATGGCGGAGGATAAGTGAGTTATAAAGGGAAGGGGTCTCAATTTAAACCAGAAATGACTAAAATACATCTTTGACTAGATCTATGAATAAATCTATGACTGGGTTTGGACAGTACTTGCTTTTTAGGCAAAACAATGAATGATGCAATCTGAAGCTGATATTGCGTCATACATGATAGGAATTGCATCATGTTATTCCTAGAAGTCATGGATTATGCAATCATAACGAAGCTTACATCACTCTGCTGAACAAATTGCCCTATATCAGCTCTAGAAATCATACAATTTGTCGTGCTCTCTTATTTGTCAGTGTTCGATTTTGCAAAGGGACACATTTCTGTTTAGCCAAAGTGAGCAGAGATGCCTCGTACTTGTGTGAACAGTGCAAATAACTTCTGCTATGTTTGTGATGAAGTGACTTTTGCATCACAAAAGCGCAGTATATCCACTATGGTTAAGAAAGCCTATCACCTTTATTTTGGCTGCAAAATTGGAGATCAGGACAAGAGGTGGGCCCCACATATATGCTGCAACACTTGTGCAACAAATCTTCACCAGTGGTTGAACAGGAAAAGGAAATCTATGCCTTTTGCCGTGCCAATGATTTGGAGAGAGCCAACAGATCATACCAGCAATTGTTACTTCTGCATGGTGCCTCCAGTTGGGAAAGGTGTGTCAAAGAAGAAAAAGTGGACTGTGCATTATCCAACCATTCCATCAGCTATACGCCCAGTACCCCACAGAGAAGGACTGCCGGTTCCTGATGCACCAGAATCATTCTCACTTGAGTTGGATGAGGAAGAGGAAGAGGATGAGGATGAAACTTCTGGTC